CAATGAAAAAATTCTCCAGGGAACAAGGAGCGATAATGTACCGCTACTGTGGTAAACAGCAGGTGCCATTTAAATCCACGAAAGGCTCTGTGACTGCTTTCAGAGGAGGGTGGAAGGCCTTGGGGACTTGAAGAGGGCCCAGGGGACAGGCGTCACAGGCATCACTGGGTGTGCGTGACACCTTTTGCAAAGTTTCCTTTGCAGATAGAAGAGAGAAATGTTCAAGAAATACATAAAGACGAGAGCAAGGGGCGGCCCGTAGGCACTGGCCGGAGAGCCGCGCACAGGCAGGCGGGCCTCGGCCCGAGACACACTTTCTTTGTGCGGCACGGAGAGTGGCCTCGGTCTAGACACAGGGGGTCCGGGGAAGTGCCCTCCGGACTCCTTCACTGTCGCTCGTGAGGACAGACTAAACTCTCATATGCTTTCCTGAGAAATTTTGAAGTTACACATCGGTCACGATGAACAAATCAATTTACAGAAAGACAGGAGGCATTGCCCTGGGTGCGGCTCAGTTAATCGGAGTGTTGTCCCGTAACTGAAAGGTTGCGGATTCAGTTTCCAGTCAGGGCGCGTCCCTAGATTGCAGGTTCAATCCCCGGTCCAGGCATGTATGGGAGACATTCAGTCGATGCTTCTCTCTCTCCCTTCCTCTCTCTCTAAAGGCAATGAAAAAAAAATGTCCTTGGGTAAGAATTTTAAAAAGGAAAGAGAGAGGAGATCTTTAGCACCCTGGCAGGAATTGGAACTAAGCTGTGGGAGTCAGACCGGGAACACGTCTATGGCTTTGCAACCTAGAGGCGGCAGAGACTGGCCGTAAAGGCAGCCTGCCACTTAGCGGGCGTGACTCTGCAATGGTTACAAATACTGCCTCCCAGCTTGAGTGCAAACATGTCTTTTCAATGAACTACATCCTGAGTTATGTTATAAAGTATCTCACCTTCAGAGAGCTACTGCAACAAAGTGCCACAAACTGGGTGGCTTAAAACAACAGGTGGTACCCTCTCACCGTTCTGGAGGCTAGAAGTTCAAAGTCAAAGTGGCCATGATCCCACCCATACTCTGGGTGGAGTCCTTTCTGGATTCTTAGCTTCTGGTGGTGTCGGGCACTCCTTGGCTTACAGCCTCGCCCCCCAGTCTCTGCCTCCATCGTTACACCGAGTTCCCTCTGTGTAAGTCTGCATCTTTCCTCCTATAAGGACACCAGTCATGTTGGGTTAAGACTCCCTTGACGCCCTCACCTTAATTTACATACTTCTGCAAAGACCCTATTTCCAAATAAAGTCACATTCACAGGAGGCGGGGGGAGGGGGGGTAGAACTCCAACCTATCTCGAGGGGTCTCTTACTTAGAGTTTACACAGAGTGATAGAATAATTCAGAGGAACAGAATTTACATTTTATTTTTTGTATAAAGGAGAGTTGCCAGTGGCATGGTAATAAGAACACCAAAATGGGACAGAGTGGAAGATTTCCAGCTCTGATTCTGAGCATGCAAACGTCGCTGAAGGAAAACCTTGAGGAGGCTGCAGAGGCCAGTCCGTTGTGGGTGGGGCATGGGGTGGGGAAGGGTTGTGTAAACTACATCATTTCCCTTTACCGGGATAAGAATAGCTCATTCTTTTCTGCATAAAATAGAAAAAGAGCCTACCAGATTCTCTGCCTTGATTTGGACTCTGTCAACAGATAGGAAATTTCAACCCGAGGCTCACCTGGCATTGCCGATGCATCCCTCCCCAGTCCCAGCTCCAGATTGCTCCTTCCTGAGGTTGTCAGTCGTGATTTTGAAACAGTAGTGAGTGGAGGGGTGTGGGATGCCAGAGGCAGGGAGTGGCCAGCAGGTTTGGGGCCAGTGCTTTTTAAAGGATCTGTGACTCGAGCCCTCGCTGGTGTGGCTCAATGGATTGAGCGTGGGCCTGCGAACCAAAAGGTTTCTGGCTTGATTCCCAGTCAGGGCACATGCCTGGGTTGCAGGCCAGGTTCCCAGTAGGGGGCGCATGAGAGGCAACCACCCATTGATGTTTCTCTCCCTCTCTTCCTCCCTTCCTGTCTAAAAATAAATAAATATTTTAAAACAATTATTTAAAGTTTTGTGACTCGAACACCTGAAAGGTAATACTGATGAAACTTAAACCACCTCCTTTAGAACATTTCGGGGACAGAGTGAGCGACCTTTTAGATCTTTGAAAAACCTGGATTCCATCAAATCCCTCTGGGCCGAAACCAGAAGCAAAGCTGGTTTTCTCTTTGTAGTGTGTGGGTGTTCACCTTTTTCATCCCTCCTACTTTGTTTATAAGGTTATCTTCTCGAGATCCTCATTTAGAAGGACAATGCCAGGTCGCAAAATGTAATCCCCTCTCCAGACTTTGGACTAACAGATGAAAAAGAATTAGGGGGCACATGAGAAAGGGGGGGCCTGAGCCTCTTTAGTTAACACCAAGGTGGGCCCCCGGAAGGAAACCGCCCGACCCCGCCCCATCCCGTACCGGCCCACGACATCTCTGTCGTTCCAGTCACTCGAGTCCTACCTGAGCAGGGTTCGACACCCTCAGAATCAGAGCTAGAAACTTGGTTTGCTCCCTCCTATCCCGGTGGTATTAACATGTCACCGCTTACTCCCTTTTATGCCAATGTGACTACAATTCTTCCTTGATATGTATTAGATTCAAGCCTGCCTGGCCTCTTGCAGAAGTGCTGTCAAGTAAACTTCGGCAGAATTTAATTCAGACTCGTCGTTGGCTTTCGCCGGTTTCCATATCTGACTAATTGAAATGCCCTCCTAGGCCCTTGAGGCGAGATAAAGGGAAATCACAAAATGAGACGTCTCATCTCTGGGGAGCGAAAAAGGAAGACTGTTCTCTTGGAACATCACGAACTGTACATCCTGAGAAAACTATGCAGTCGTCAAATGCTTTTAGCTTCCTTAAACCTGTTCTGATGGGTTGGATTGTGTTCCCCACCAAAACTCCTCTGTTGCGTCACTAACCCCGTGCCCCAGAGTGTGACCTTATTTGGAGATAGGGTCAAGCCACGGAGCTGGTCAAGCCACAGCGCGGTCCTCAGGGTGGGCCCTGATTCGCTAAGACAGGGAGGGGCACAGACCCCCACACGGGGGCAGACGATGTAAGAGCCACCAGGAGAGAAGAGCCACCTGCACACCTGGGACGCGGCCTTGTCACCGCCCTGCCTGCACCTGCGTTTTGCAATTCCGGCCTCTCCAACTTCAGGACAGCAAATTTCTGTCACTGAAGCCACCCAGTCTGTGGTACTTCCTGAGCCTGCTTAGCAAACGAATACACCTAAGTGTAGAAGGGTGGGGCCTGTTTGCTTGTTTGTTTTAATAATTAAGGTCCTCAGTTAATGCAGCTATTGTTTTCCAAAGGAGTCTTTGAGTGGTTTCGTTTTCATTGGTTCCACCCATTGCCTAGAGAAAAAAAAAACACCTGAAAATCTTGTGTGTGTCATGTGGGCATCGCTCTCTGCTTCACCAGAGTCGACAGTGAGTTGGTCGTTTTCACAGGCCGGTCCACACGTGGAAATGTGGCCGCTAGATACGCACTTTACGGCCTGCGTGTATTTACCTGCTACGGTGAAAGGCTGGCCCACCCACGGAGATTCTGGCCCAGTCTGGGGCAGCGGGCAGAGTCACGGAGCCGTGAACCCGGCAGAGGGCTGACAGTGTTGGGGGTGAGGTTAGCAACCTTCAGAGAGAGCAGTGATTCTGAACGTGGAGGGGGCTGCTTTCAACTAGTGACGAACGAGTGGGGAATCTGCAAATGGGAGGGCATGGATTGTGTTCTCAATTGAAAAAAAAAATACAGCTTATGATAGCATTTGCAGATTCCGGAAAGATACTAGAAAGGATTTTGAAAGTCCTTAAGAGAACCACATTTCTTGGAAGAGCAGAGGGCATGAGGTGATTCATTCGTTTCTCTTCCCTTCTTTCCCTCCCTCCTCCGGACCCTGTGGGGGGAGGGGCCAGCGGCTCCGGCTCCTTCTCATCCTCCTGAATCAATTCCTTAATTGTGGTTGCCATCATTTTATCCTTGACCTTTCCCTGTGGCTTCTACCGTCCTCCCCATGCTATTCGACAATGTCTGTGTCCCCAAGGATTCACTGCAGTTGGCCATCTGCTCTACTTTGGACACCATTCTCCCGGGAAACGGCTCGCCCACGTGGATTCAGTTTTCAGCTAGGTGGCGACCCCCCCCCCCCCGCGCCCCCACCAGGCCAGCATGTCCAGCTCGACCTCTCACCTGTTCTCCTGTGCTGGTTTTTGCCCCGGTACCTACAGAACGCTTCCTCTGTCTGTTACTGAGGCCTAAAATGAAGTCTGTCCAAAATAGAGCCCTTCCAGCTGGACTCTGCTCTCAGATTGGCAACATTTCCTCTCCCTGTCTCTTTGGGGCATAAACCTTTGATTTGAGGGCTTTTTTGGTCTGTTCGTGTTTTTGCCTGTCTGCCCTGCTCATCTTGGTTTAGCAGTAATTGTGGCTTCATCCTTTATCCTTGGCCTCATGCGTGAACTGGCCCAGGGTCACCGCGCCCTCCTCCCCTCTGGTTAATCCTGTGCGAGCTTAGCCCATCCTATTGATTTTCATTCTCTCTTCCAAATGGTTTGTCTGCCTTCGAGACGCAACGCAGCAGGTGGGGACTAGATGCTGATGGTCAATAACCAGCAGCTCCTGGCGCTTTAACTTTGGTAAAGGAAGCAATCCCTCGCCTCGGTTTCAGTGTAAATGACTGAGCACTGAATATTTCCACCTAAACATCCTGCCAGTGCTTGTAATTCACTTGTTCAAAGCTATTCCATGACCCCTTCCCCAAGCCCCCCCAAGATAAACAGCATTTTAACCCCACTCCCCATTGGCCCTGTCGCCAGCGAGGAAGCCCCGCCCCCCCAGGCCTCCAGACGCACGGTGTTTTGCCGTGTACACTGCGCTTCTGTGTATAACGCGCACCCATGTTTTTAGCCCAAACTTTCAGGGGGGAAAAAAAAAACCCTTTCATTTTAATTCAATTTTTATTTAGTTATATTTAGAAACAAAACCAATTATCACATTCCAGGGTATTATTTTGCATATGGATATCGTTATTGCTTTCTAGAGTTAGTTTTAACACATAAGCATACATAAAACAATTAAAAACATTTATATAGATACAGAATTAGTACTACCCATGTAGAATGTGCGTCCTTATTTCCACTCCAATATTCAGGCAAGAAAGTGTGCACTACACACGGCAAAAAGTACGGTGCCTGATTCCTCTCCCCGTGGCCCTTGCGCCCCATCCGACGGCGTGTCTTGCCTTTCCTCCCCTGCAGAGTCTTGTTTCTTTCTGCTCCTTCCTTCCTGTGTCCTCCGCGGATCCCTAGTCCAGACCCTCCTCGCCTCGCCCCCCGCCTCTGTGCCTGTGCAGCAGCTGAGTGGCGAGTGCCTCTCTCAGGGGTGCGTTCATCTCACTGGACAGCTTGGAACGGTTCTGTGTCTCATGTTATCGCAGCAGAGGACACAGAAATGGTCAGCGACTCAGGGTCCTTGCTGCAGGTGCCTGTTGCTTTACCAGGTGGCAGGCAGTGGCGGGTGCCCCACCCTTTAGCCCTGCCTCTTTCGTTCTTCTGTGGCCGTCACTGTGCCTGTCTCCCCGCTTGGTGCTTCTGGTCTGAGAACCACAAGAGTGAAGAAGAAGAATGGTGAACAGCATAGATCTGGGAGTCACTCGGTTCAAATCCCAGCCCTGCTAGGAATAGCAAAGTGACCTTGGCCAAGCCGAGCCTCTCCCCAAGCCCCGCTTCCTTGCCTGTGAAATGGGACATGCACTGCAGCCCCAGTGTGGGGTGTAAGCCCCACAGTCTCGGCCGTCGGTGAGACCATGTGAAGGCCGGAGGAGTGAAAGTGGGTGTGCCGGTGGTAAGGCTTCACAGCAGCCCTTTGTCTGCGGGGCAGGGGGCCGAGGGCCAAGGGGAGGTGTTTAATAGTTACCTCCAGGAGTTTCAGGTCACCAGTCACCAGTAGGCAGTAACTCCGGACCAGCAGGCTGTGGTGCGCAGCGCAGGTGGGTGGCTGCTCACCACCCCAGCACTGTGATTGCGTTTCTGCTCTGTCCCTGCCCCGAGCAGAGCCTCAGCTTCCTGTGGACCAGGTCAAGGTCATCGGTGGCTGTCCCCCACCCTCACCCACTCACAGCCACTCAGCAGGATCTGGAATAGTCTCCTGCCTTTCAAAAGATGCCCCTTCTTCCCCCTCGTGGCTCCGCCCCCAGTCCCTCTGTAAACCCCGGCCTGCCCGCAGCCCAGAGTGACTGCTGCCCCGAACTTCTGTGTTTGCTCTGGCAACACGAGCGCTTCTGTTGCCTCGAATTACGGGCTGTCCCTTTTAACTTGCAGCGAATTTGGCCACCCCACGAGATTATAAGCTCTTTAGAGCGGTGCCGAAGTCTGGGATGTCCTCCTGTTTCCTTTTCTGCCCGAGCCCGGTCTCTGCTGTGCAGAAACCCCTGGATGCCGTCAGCGGCGTCGTCACTGTCGTCACTGTCATCCTTGGCCAAAGCGTTGCGTGCAGCTTGCGGCTGACCCTGCACCGTGCTCTGGTGGGACACGCCACACGCGTGACACAGACAGTTGGTGGGTAAACAGGCTGTGACTGAGAAGGATGTAAAGCCCCTTGGACAGTCACCCTACGGTAGTTTGGAAATGTATCATTTAGAAATGGACTAACCTGAAATTATTTTGTACTCCTTATGAAATATAAACTCGACGAGTAGGGTGATTATCATTAAATTTTGTGGATATTTTGTATGTGAATGAAAAAATTTTTTGATGTCTCTTAGCTCCCAGGGGCATCAAATTATCATGTTGTACGTGTTAATCAAGGGTTATACAGACAAACCCTTTTCTAGGTGTTTAAAAATACCCATCCGGGTGCATATTTATATATTTTTTACACTTCTTTTGGCACATTCTATAATTGTATTATGTCTTATGTACATCATGTGATATATAAAATGACAGCATTCCGTTAGGTATGGGAATTAATTCTTCCTTCTGAGTTCCTGATTACAAGAAAAAAATCCGTACCTTCTATTGGATACTCATTATTCAGCGGAAGCGTGTGTCCAAAGGGTTGTAGGCAATAGGAAAGTTGGTGCCTCTTAAATAAGGTGTTCTTGGTTGTGTGCCCTTTAATAACACAGCCGGACTCGGAGTGATGATCCGTTTCACCCTGCCAAACCAAAATGAAACCCTCTATACTGGTAAAACTGGTGCTACTATTTTACTTATAATTCCTTCTCTCGAGCTTCGACAGAATTCAGTGAAATTGAATTCTATTTCATTTTTTTTTCCATCGTGGCTGAACCCTCACTCACCGCCAGAGTTTCACCTGAGTCTGATCTTCCAGGAGATAGCTGCGGGGTTCGTGGAATGCAAAGGGAGTGCACTCGGCTGTGAAGCAACTTCTCGTTTCGTTCCGTTGTCAAATATAAAATTATGAAGAAACAAAGCAAGGAAGGGGGCACGGAAAGAACTGAATGAGCCGATCCTTTAATAGATGACATTTTTTAAAATGGGAGTTATGACTTCAGCAAAAATATGAAGATTTTTTAAGCTATTTTTTAAGGGGGAGAAATTATTCTCAACCCTAAAAAAGAATTTCTCATTAAACCATTAAGACAGAGAGGCACACAGAATGACCCAGGTTTGAACTTCTGGCTCAGGAACTGTTTTGTTTTATTTTTTTTTTTGTTTTTTTGTTTTTCACTTAATGCAGGAGCCTAAGCCCAGCACTTGACTTCCTAGGACCCCTTTGAGAAGGACCATGGACAGGGTGCCCCTACTAACTGAGCTGGCAGAACGCCGGTGATTCCAGACCGTCTCAGACCAAGTCAGATGTGTGCTCACCCATCCACAATACATCTGGGCCCAGAGCCTGGGACATAGTACATGCTCACGATTTTAAAATCCAGGGAATCCAATCCTGGCTGGTGTGGCTCAGTGGATTTAGCACCAACCTGCAAACAACAGGGTTGCTGGTTCAATTCCCAGTCAGAGCACAAGAGTCCAGGCCAGGTCCCCAGCTGGGGGCATGGGAGAGGCAACCACACATTGATGTTTCTCTCCCTCCCTTCCCCTTTCTCTAAAGTAAATAAATAAAATCTTTATAATAAAATGAAATCCAGGGAATCAAGAATCCTGAGGAATCAGGCTTGAACTCAAGTGCAATAGCACTTTATGGGCATAATTGGCATCTTTGATAAAGTCTAGAAGGCAAATGTTTTAAAAATAGTGCTTTGAAATGCAGACTTACATGCATTTAAAAAAAATAATGTAAAATGAGTGTTTGAATAAAACAGCCAAAAGAAGGTCAACCACCTTCATTGCCAGTTAGCATACAGGCCATTGAAATGCACCCTAAGTAGCTGGGGAACCTGGATTTGTTTGGGGCACAAAAGTGACAGTCTGTCGTCTTTGTGGTAACAAGAAAGAAATGACTTCTTTTAAATAATGGGCTTTAGTTCTGCTACCTAAAGCGTATACTTTAATGTCAGTTTAATAGGAGCTGTTTTTCATTTGCCAAATGCAAGGAGGAATTATTACATACAGTTGTATAAGTTGTCTTCAATTTTCATAAATTTCTTTTTAAATGCTTTTTGCTGATCATTTTTACAACATCCACATAAACTTGCATCGGTCACAATAAAAAGCATGCAAGGCCCCCCTGATATTCAAGGTTGTGATTCTGACCCAATTCAAACAGAGTGGCAAGGTGACACGCAGACTTTTAGAAGCTTTAGTTCCAGGTTGTGGTGACTTGCTGAGTGAGAATAGGGACACCTTGTCAGGCATTACCTTGGGAGGTTATATAGACTTCTGTGGACCCGTCTGGGTCTGGTGACCCCTGAGAGGAGCAGGTGTGATAGCCACAGGTAATCCTGCAGTGATTCCCTGGGTCCCTCCCACCCTCACTCCCTACGGGCTCAACATCCACCGTCTTCCAAGGAGCCCAACAGGAAGGGCAGAGATGAGCTAAGAAACAACAGAGATTTTGCCATAGGACCAAGCTGAAAATGTGCGTTAAGCCCCTGCCTCTTAAGAGAAAAGGGGTAGATCAGGAGGGGAGCAGGCCTTGACGAATACAAAGGTCACTCTGCGGACAGAAACGCGAGTGGGAGCCGTAAAGGTGCTCCCCTTCCTTGTCCCCAGGCCCCGGCTGCAGGGATGGGAATGTTGGCATGCAAAAGGCGAGGGTTTGACTCACCGAGAGCTAGACTGATGCGGGGCTGGATCGTTCCAGAAAAATACTCCCAAGGAGAAACATTTGCACATAAGTTTGGTTGTTGCCAAACAACCAGATTATTTTAAGAATGAGCTACGCAACCACCTGCAGTGTTTTATTCCTTAGGAGGTATTTTAGAGATTTTTTAAGTAGTAATAATAATAATTTGCTTCCCAGACCAAAATGACCTCTGCTACAGAATCATGATAATAAGGCCGTGTTACCGAACTTCCAGTTATTAGATACGTAAGTTCTGGGATTTAATATACAGCATGGGGACTGTAAGTTAACAATATTGTATTAACGCTTGAAAGTTGCTAAGAGTGTGGTTCTTAAATGTTCTCACCACCAGAAAAAAAAAAAGGGAATTACGTGAGCTAGCGGATGTGTGAACTCACCTTACTGTGGCATCATTTCACAATCCATGTTTATAGATGGATCTGCTGGGAAACAGAAAGGCGCTCCCCTTCCTCGTCACACGGTGGACCTTAACCTTTCACGGCGTCACACGGAGACCTTAACCTTTCACGGCGTCACACGCCCGTGGTATCTCAGCGAAGCTGGAAAAGAAAGGAGGCCCTATCGGAATTGCGTCTGGTCCTTGGGATGGGCGCTGTTGGCCTCAGAGAGGAGCCGCGGTGACCGGTGACCACGCCGGCCACGCCCGAGGCTGAGACAGCGGTGTGGTGAAGGGCATTGGTAGTCCTGCAACCTCTGCTCCGATCCCGGGCATCTGTCACCAGAGGTAGCCGGTGACGATTTCCACAGTTTTATGACCCTTGGCGGCCATCCCAGGAAGTCATAATGCCCTCTGTAAAATTCCACTTCCACACCCTGGCCTTTCCGCCCAAATCCTTCAGAAGCAGTGAAAATGGGACCACACCTCCTTTATGTAACATCAGTGTGTTTCTTCTGCTGCCTGCTCTGACCGATGCCCCCCCCCCAAAAAGTACTCAAGGATTGGGGACCTAGGGGCAATCGAGATACCAAGGATAAAGAAGAGGCTTGTTTGCTTTGCCTCTGCAGTGATAAGTTACTAAAAGCCAAAGGATGGGTCATTTCTGTATCACATGCAATGTCTCGAGCCATATGGATGTTGAATTAGATAATGAGGGAAGAACCATTCTCCGTGTTGTTGTAGGATTAGGGGGAGGTTGGCTTGAATAAAAGAGCTGTGGGAAGAAGCAGGTCAAGTGCGGGTTCTGGCTGAGCAAACCGACACAGTCTTGTCAGCAGAGGGATGTGCAGAGAGTGCAGTCCCGTCACCCGTATTGGAGTCCAGGGTCCGCACAGAAAAGGAAGGCTCCGTCAGAGCCAGGGGGTCAGGCTCGAGGTGGGGTTCAGAGCAGGTGCTGGGAAGTCAGAGCGTGTCCAGGCTGCAGTGCAGATGGACCTGAATGCCGACCGACTCCAGGACAGGAGCCATCTGGCCTCTGCCTTGGGCTTTTATTTTTTTACTTTCAGAGAGAAGTGAAGGGACAGAGAAAGAGAAGGAGAGAAACACTGATGTACAAAAGATGCATCGATCAGTTGCCTCTCACATGCCCTCTACTGGGGACCCAGCCTGCAACCCCAGCATGTGCCCTGACTGGGGATCAAACCAGCGACCTTTCAGTTCACAGGCTGGCCCTCAGTCCACTGAGCCACACCATTCAGGGCTCTCACTTTTTTTTTTTTTTTTTAAGTGTTGTTTAGCATGAAAAGTATTGGCAGGTTTTTCTTGACTTTCCAGCATGAGTCCAGGTTGCTAAGTGCCTGTGACTATCGCCTTGGAGGCCAGGCCAGTTAGTACTTTATTCCATCAACTGAGTGCCTACCATGTAAAACAAATAAACTCAGTTTAATACTGGGGGAAGCACAAGGACAAGGAAGGTGTAAACCACAGTTGGACCCCAGAATATGGCCTGGTTATGAAATCATGACCTCAATGTGGAAAAAGTTAAACAGCACAGAAGAGAAGGGATTCAATTAAACGAGACGAGATTTTGCAAGGCAGAAAGGCATTGCATGACTGAATGGGTGGTACCTATGGTGAGCGCCGTAGGAACCGAGAGTTGGGGGTGATCTCTGTGGGTTGGAGAGGTCTGGGAAGGGGGGCAATGTAAACTGTCTCGTCTCTGGACAAGTCGAGAGAAGCGGTGACGGCATGCCAGATGGAGGAGGGGCGTGAGAGCGTGGAGGTAGGAAGTTTAAGAGACAGTCTAGCAACAGTAAAACAGCTCAATTAGAGTTGGGGGTTGGTTGGGAAAGGTGAATAGTCGGAGATGAAGCCAACAAGGTCGTTGAAATGAAAACGTGATGATGTTGAATTAAAGAGTCCTCCAGTGTACTTTCTAGACACTGAGAAGTCACCAAAATTTTTTTGGCAGAGGAGTGACATGCTTAGGAATATTCTAGGAAAGTTAATCTGGTGGCTGAATATGGGCAAATTAGGAAGAAAGAGTGCTTGGGTAGACCAGATGTCTGCGCTTGCTTTGGTCTAACTAATAACACAATAAATGTTCTAACTATGGAAGCAGGGGCAAGAACAGAAATAAAGAGATGGATACCAGAGAGATTTTGAAGGAGAGGGTAATAAGACTTCGCCCCTTCTTCATCAAAGGTCTATGCATTGTTTTGTAAAAGGTGAAAAACTTATACGATCTGAAGAGAAAGCAGAGTATGAAATGCACTGTCTTGGAACCAAGTGACTAGGAGACTATTTTATGGACAGAAATGGGGATGTTAGGTTAGGGGATGAGAGGGGCTGAATTCTTAGGTAAAAGTAATGAGTCGAGCTCTGGATGATAGTGTTTGCTGGCGCAGGAGGCAGAGATGTGTTACTAGAAGGCAGGAGGGAGAGCCCGGCCAGTGGTGAACACGGGGGAGTCGCCTGCACAGGGCTGACAGTTTAACCTGTTTGAATGGCTGGTATCTTCCCGTGAGAGACGAGTCAGAATGCTGGAGGGGCCACCCTTTTAAAGGAGGAGGAGGAAAAGGAAGCAGGCACAGTGTGCAGTCAGACACTGGGGAGGAGGTGACAGACTCACAGGGACACAGGCAAGAGCACCCAGAAGGAAGCTGTCGTCGGCAGGGTCAGGTGTTGCAGAGGTCAGGGAGGAGAGAGACCCAGGAGGAGGACCGGGGGCTGAACAAAGGCCACTGGACCCCGCAATTAGGAAGTCGTTCTGCCTTAAGAATAAGAATGGTGTCACCGTGCGTGTGTAGGAGTGGGAGGAGGTGGATGAAGGAGTGAACCTGGAAGGACAGGGGGCACAGACCATTGATTTCAGGCGAGAAGAAGTAAAAGGGGAGACGATGGCCTTCCGAGTTGGGCACTGGTGTGGATGCACCGTGCACATGGAAGACAAAGGTGGAGGCTCCGTGCATTTGGCCAGACTTAATCAAATAACTACTAAGGGCTGGACCCAGTTACCAGGGAGAGATTGACGGCTGTAAGAGAAAGAGAGGACAGTGAGGGGAACAGGGTTCGGGAGAAAATGGAAAGGAGGAATCACGAGAACTGGGGAACTTGTCGTGCTGGGAAGAAGAGACGCTGCTTCCTCTGAGACTGGGGAGGGGATAGTGGCCGGTGTAGATTCAGGAATGTTTTGAAACGAAGAGAATAAAGGTGGAAAGCGGGGCTGCTGGCCTTAGGCTTCCGAACAAAGCGGAGGGTGGGTGGCCTCTGAGAGAGAGGGCGGACTAGGGTGATGGGTGATGGGGTGAAAGGGAAAATGTCAAAAATACCGCCCTGGGTCATGTGCGGGGGGTGGGGGTGGTCAGAGAGACACGGACATTGGGTTGGTGCTGCACAGAAACCTTGAACTTCCCTTGTGCCCTCGTAAGAGTTGGTTATGAAGTGCAGCTTAGCAGATGCGCAGTGTTTGTTTCCACTTTCACTTCTAAGAACTTCCTCTCCCTCGTTGTCTTATTTTTCCTAGTACATTTTCTGTGATTTCTTTAATTTCTAATATTACCACAGTTATAAATTGCACAACCGTTAGAGAGACAAGCTCTTACAGATTTCTTGAGGTTATCTCAATTGTGGGGGAGACGTTGGTATGAAATAATACCTTCTAGATGAATTAAATTACTGATACATACACTTACCAGGAAAAGTTAGTGAAGACAACCCAAGAATTGTACTACCCGCTTCCCTCTAAAAGGCTGATGTAAAGTTTTAGACGATCTAATTGAAAACATCAGCATGACTGCCTATGTCCTCAAACCTACAGAATTCATTTAAGAGCAATTTAAGAATAAGATCCAAGGGGTGATTGTGGGTCACCCAGAAGCTGGCAGATCACAAGTGGCTCCATGGTGGGACCTGTGTGGCCAGGTGTGTCTTCACACCACTGCACCAGACGGTCAGGGTCTGTGACGAGGAGGAGCCGGCCATGCAGGACAGCACACATGACAATCACATAACAGTTCCCCAGGCCACCTGGGGAGTCCTCGGTTTCAGCAGGAGTGCAGCCCAGCGAGAACTGAGGAAGAATATGTTTCCATCGCAAATAATATTCATAACAAAAGTAAATAATGCAGAAAGCCCCCGCGTTCCAATTCTGTATGTCAGCCTTCAGTATATTCCTGACTCTATTCTACAAGTCTCCCACCCCCTACCCTGCCCGACCGTGGCAGGTGGAACACCAAGCAACGGCCCACAAACTGAGTGACCAGAGTGTGCTTCTGGGGGGAATAGATTCACTTTCCAACCTTGGTGCTGTGGGAGGGAAACGTTCTGTGGGCCCCCAGCCACTGGCCCCAATGGAGGTGAGCCTGCCGAGCTTATTCCTGCCGTGGCGACTGAACCACTTCTTCTTCCCTTTCTTCTCCTTGTAGGTATGGCCTCACATGTGCAAGTTTTCTCCCCTCACACCCTCCAATCAAGTGCCTTCTGTAGTGTGAAGAAACTGAAAGTAGAGCCGAGCTCCACCTGGGACATGACCGGGTACGGCCCCCACAGCAAGGTGTACAGCCAGAGCAAGAACGTGCCGCCCCCTCAGCCAGCCACCACAGCCGTGAGCACCTCCTTGCCCATCCCGAACCCGAGCCTACCTTACGAGCAGACCATCATCTTCCCAGGAAGCACCGGGCACATAGTGGTCACATCAGCAAGCAGCACCTCCGTCACTGGGCAAGTCCTCGGCGGACCGCATAACCTAATGCGTCGAAGCACTGTGAGCCTTCTTGATACCTACCAAAAATGCGGACTCAAGCGTAAGAGCGAGGAGATCGAGAACACAAGCAGCGTGCAGATCATCGAAGAGCACCCACCCATGATTCAGAATAATGCAAGCGGGGCCACGGTCGCCACTGCCGCCACGTCGACTGCCACGTCCAAGAACAGTGGCTCCAACAGCGAAGGCGACTACCAGCTGGTCCAGCATGAGGTGCTGTGCTCCATGACCAACACCTACGAAGTGCTGGAGTTCCTGGGCCGAGGGACGTTCGGGCAAGTGGTCAAGTGCTGGAAAAGGGGCACCAACGAAATAGTGGCCATCAAGATCCTGAAGAACCACCCGTCGTACGCCCGGCAAGGCCAGATCGAGGTCAGCATCCTGGCCCGCCTCAGCACCGAGAGCGCAGACGACTACAACTTCGTCCGGGCCTACGAGTGCTTCCAGCATAAGAACCACACGTGCTTGGTCTTCGAGATGCTGGAGCAGAACCTCTATGACTTCCTGAAGCAGAACAAGTTTAGCCCCTTGCCCCTCAAGTACATTCGGCCAGTGCTGCAGCAGGTGGCCACGGCCCTGATGAAACTGAAGAGCCTGGGCCTCATCCACGCGGACCTCAAACCGGAAAACATCATGCTGGTGGATCCGTCCAGACAGCCCTACAGAGTCAAGGTCATCGACTTTGGCTCAGCCAGTCATGTGTCCAAGGCTGTGTGTTCCACCTACTTGCAATCCAGATATTACAGGTAAGGCTGTTGGCACCGCGGCAGGAGACGCTGACCGCCCAGTGGCACACGTGGGGAATGTGCAGTGGTCGGTCAGTGTGGGAGAAATAAAGTTCTGTGCCTGCTGTGTCCTTCAAGTGATCGGGATTTACTCGGGAAGTTAGGGCGTGAGCACATGGAAATGGCAATTAGAAGCCAGAGGGGAGCCAGGGGAGGCCTTTGGCACACGTGTTCAGAGTTGGAAGGGATTCCTGGGGCTGCGGTGCCAAGCGGAAGCAGAGCAGGGAGTTTGGTCCTCACGGATGGTCGGATCCAGACATGGGTGGAGGAGAGAGGGGGGCATGTGTTATTGAAGTCACTGTGGTGAGAATGCACAAGGCGGGTGGGAGACAAGGACCCCTGCCTGGTCAGAACAGAGGACCTGTGGATGGGGGAAGCTGTGACCAAAAGGACAAGTTGGGACAGGGCCGTTGGGGTCTTAAATACCTGACTAGGAGGCTACAACCGCATCTCCAAACATGGAGTGTGCACTGAGGCATTAGAACAGCAGCGGGTAACAGGACCAACCTGATGCTCCCAGACAGCGTTTACATATCTGTGGAGGCGGGATCTGAGAAGGGACGGACTAGCTTAGAGCCCATAGGCTTGCTGCTGGCGAGAGAAGGTCAAGTTTGGGGTCAGGGTGAAAAGCAGATGATGGGAGGATTCTAGGAAAGTGCACGGCTTTCATTCCTTCACTCACTCCTCAAGGGTTTACTTCACTTACCGCCCGAGCCGGGCACGGTGCCAGGAATGCAGCAGGTGCCGGTTTGCACTGCTGCTCCACGTTAAAAATCACCGGGGCTTTTACTAGCAACTTGACTTGGGTCCTGATCCCCACAAACTGAATCAGCATCGCTTGAGGGCGGTGCGTTTTTAACAGCATTTCTGGGGGGTTCATTGAGGGGCGAAGGTTGAGAACCGATGCTCTAGGCAGGGTGAGGAGGATGAGAGCCCTGGCTCTGGGGTAAGAAGCCTGGACTTGACCCTGATCCCCGCACTCGCAAGCTGTACCACCCAGCTTGCTGCCTCCTTTCTCCGTGCCTCAGTTCCTCACCCATAAACTGGGGGGGGGGGGTCGGTCACCGCCTCGTGGGGGTTGTCGGGGTGGTGGCAGGCTGTGACGTGGTGAGTGAAGCACTTCACACCGGCACGTGGTGGGCGCGTGGGAAGAAGTAGGTGCAGTGGGAAGCGGGAAGGTCTTTGGAGACGGGTCGGGCTGTGTTGAGAGTGATGCAGAACAGTCCGGCGACGGTGGAAGGTGGCGAGAAACCAAACCAAACTCCCAGAGAAGGGACACGTCAGAGGCTGACGCGCAGCAGGAGCACCAGCATCCCGGCTCATCTGTGTCTGCACTCTAGCCAAGGACGTGCTTTCGCCACGCCTCCCTCCAGACCACGCCTCCCTCCAGGCCACGCCTCCCTCCAGGCCACGCCTCCCTCCAGGCCAAGGAGGCGAGCTGGAGCCAGGTGGGTGGACACAGCTGGTCCATCACCCGGCCCTGCCCCACTCGGCTCCCCTTGTCTAGTGATGCACCAACCTCTGGGCCAGTCCCTCCACCCCATCCCTCAGCCTGCAGCCTCGGTGGGTAACCTTCAAGACAGAGTCCCCCGAGCGCCCCTCTCCCCTTCTTCCCTTCTCCCTACTCACGGGTTTCTAGGCCCCTCCCCATGCTCCTTCTCTCCCTGCCCTGGCCCACCCTCCCTTTAGGAGGCATTTCCTGGGCTGCAGCGGCTCCTTTCTAGGTTCCTGCATCCTTCCTTCCCCAGCAGGTTCCTTCCTGCTCGGTTCAGGTGCGCGTGCATCCTCCCGTCTGGGGAGGCGCTTGCCGCTGCCTCCTGCTCACCCACTTCCTCTCCCCTCGCTGGCTTCTTAAGCCTTCGGGGCTGGCTCGCTGCCCTCTGCACGGGAGCCAGGTGTTCCTCATCACCCCTCCGTGGAGAGGCGAGACCTGAGCTGGGGCCCCGGGCCTGGGGACAGAGGGGGAGGTCCGGGGAGGAGGGGTGGGTGAAGGAAGATGGGCGGGGGCTGAGGCAGCTCGGGGTTCTCCGAAAACCAGCCCTGGGCGGTGTCAGCGCCGCTCACCGTTGCTCCCTGCTGCTGCCGTCACTTCACGTTCGGCGCGCCCACGCAGCACGCAGCACGCCGCACGCCATAGGCCGCTCCTTCCCAGGCCTCCGCCTGAGCGGAGGGTGAGCTGCAGGGCTGCTGGGGCCTTGACGATTTCATCGGCCGGAGTTGTCTTTTGGTGGACAAATACTTGCGCTATTCAAATTGCTAAAAAGTGAGCATGGCCACCTATAAAAAGACTTTTAAAAACTCCATTTAAAAAGCAGTGCACGCTTAGAGCAAAACCTGGTGGGCACTAAGTTTCCTCGGAGATAATCAAGCACTCTCGTCTTCTCACCTGGTGCCCCCGTGACTCTTCCCGCCCCTGCCCCAAAAGGTAGGTGCTCCGTTTTCCTTTGCTTCTGTGTTTGTCCCTGGTACTGAGTACCTGCGATCTCCACGCAGGAGATCTGGCTGTGCAGGAGGACCATCTCTGGTGGGCGGTGAAGGCAGCTTGTTTGCTGCGGCTGCCAGGGCTCTCATTAGCTCTCCTCCTTTGCACTCCACCCCGCTCCCTCCCAAGGCCCGAGCTCTGGGTGCCGTCTTCCCGCTGCCTGTAAGCCTTCAGTAGTTGTTGTCTAACATTCTCAGGACGAGATCTCTTCCTCTTCATGGTGGTTTTGGCAAAAAAATGCAAGTGTCCGTCCTTCCAGTCCTCAGGCCCTGCCCCTCCATGTCCAGCTCTGGCTTCAAGGGCACGGTCAACCTGCACGCCAGCCTGGCCTTTCTGCCTCAAATGGTGTTTCGTCCTGCTCCTCCCCACCACCGGGCCTCATTGGAGCCCCGGAGTAGCTCGCCGCCATCACGAGCCGTCTGACTGTTGAAGAACAGTCCCCAGCTGTGTCCTGCCTGTCCTAGCCGTGTGGGACAGCCCGCCCTAGGCTGCATTTATCAAGCTGGTTCTCTCTCAAACGGGGGAGAGGGGTTGGGGTGGGTGGAGTTCTGCAGTCCTCCATTGTTGCCCTGAGAAGGAAGGTGTTTCCAGCTACATCTTCAGAGAATGTGCCTGTGTTTGAGCTGCCTGGTGCAAAGAGGCCCTTAGGCTGTGGGCCCAAGTGGACCCAGGGCCCCCCAGTATCCGAGCTGGGTGCATTTCCCCCGGGACCTCTCATTTTCAAAGGGGAAAACACTTACACATCCCTCCTTGTTTTAAGTGGGGCAGTTTTAAGAGTCTCATCCCCGCCTAGTGACGTGGGAACAGTTTCTGTCCAAAGCCTGGGTTACCAGGACAGGTAGGTGGTGGCTGCGGGGGGGTGGGGGGACAGGAGCAGGTGCAAACTATTACCCTGCTGGTTTGGCACCTGCTTGGCCAAGGGCGGGGCCTCTTGGTACAGGTGTTCTGTGAGGCTAGCCTGAGCATGTGTGTTTCAGGAAACCAGCGCTGCTCGAGTTTCGTTTTCTCAGCCTGAGGCATGGCTGTGCCCTTCCAACTCCAAGGTCAGTTGCTCAGTTTAGTGTCAGACCGCCCTGGTCCTCGAGCTTTGTTGCGCGTGAGAGTCGCCTGGAGAGCTCACTCAAAGTAGATTTCTGCCAAGGTCCTGCCCCAGCCAGACCCACAGGGCCCAGAGTCTGCAGGGGAGTGCCCCCTGGGAAAGTCTCCCCCCGCAACACCACACAGACAGGCACACGTGCACGGAATCAGGGGTGAGGTGGTCCTACTCAAGCCCACTCACTGAGAAACATTGCTCAGGGGAGAAAGGGGTTGACTGCCACAATGGTGTCACCTTCCAGGTGCTGCGTCCTCCCCTAGGAGCAGAGTGACAGGTAGTCCTGTCGACTGTCCCCTCCCCTTGGAAGTCCTGTCGCTTCCCTACTCGGTCCTGCACGGATGCCAGACGCTGCTTCAGAACAGGTGGTGCGTCAACTCAGGGCACGTCTGCTCTCCGTGTGCCCAGCAAACTAAAAACAACACCAAGTGTTCAGTCCCCCTCTCAAGAAAAACAAACAAAATGACATACCGTGCGAGCAAGAGATAGTCAGCAATTAACATGTACAGATTTTTTGTTTCTGCTCTGAGCTATTCAGAGTAGTACCCTTATCTGTTAGACTTAACTTGAAATACTCAAGATTATTACTAGGACCCCCCCAAAAAATAGGCATCCAAACTTAAGGTTTAAAATATGGCCAGTAGCCTACTTGTTCATCATAATCCCACCTTTTTGTCTGATTCTTTGAGTTGCAAAGCCCATTTTCAAGTTGATCCCATGGTGGTTTTAGGTGGGAGTGGAGATGTGTTTGAATTCCGTTCAGGTCAGCAGATGGCCGTTGGGAGGCGTCCATCGGGCACCTACTCAGTGTCCAGCAGCAGATGTAATGAAGAGTGCGGCACCAGGCACAAACTCTCACCTTGAGGTGTGTCCAGTCTCTCCAAGAAAGTTCAAAGACACAGACAGACAGCCTAGAGAGCAATTCACGTGCTTTGGTCCTGCAAATGTTTGACCGCTCAGCAGGTACTCATCAGCGCTCTAGGAAACCAATGATGAGAAAACCCAGTTAAAGAAATTCCAGTTAAGGAATGATTTTGCGAGGTGGGTCAGTAGGGAAGGTTATAGGTGCACTGTGGTAGGTCCGAAAGGAAATGAGAGATGGGCTGGGGGGACCCAGAGGTGCAGAAGTTGGGGTGAATAAGGGAAGATGGGGAAACAGCGACACCTGGGAGGAGTTGAAGGCCTGGGTTGGAAAACGGTGTGGGTGAGTGACATCTCACAACGGCAGCCTTGATGTCGGCTTTGACAAGGCACGTGGATTTAACAAGGAGTAATTGGGTAGAGTTAAGGATATTAATGAGGTTAATCAATTGGAATGAAAAATAAAACAGTCGGGGAGAATCCAAAGGCTAAGAGAATAAATACTGGTTATTCAGGAATAAAGAG